TAAAGGTAAGATTTGAAGCATCCTAGGAGGAGGAAACATCACCAAAGTATCCCGAAGTGAAGCGCCACACACACACTCATCAAGGACAGCATAGAGGTAAGTTTTGAAGCATCCTAGGAGGAGGAAACATCAGTGAAGTATCCCGAAGTGAAGCGCCACATACACACTCATCAAGGACAGCATAAAGGTAAGATTTGAAGCATCCTAGGAGGAGGAAACATCACCGAAGTATCCCGAAGTGAAGCGCCATATACACACTCATCAAGAACAAGATAGAGGTAAGATTTGAAGCATCCTAGAAGGAGGAAACATCACGGAACTTTTACAAGGGGAATCACAACTCATCCAGGCTCCCAAATCAGTGAAAACTCAAAGTTTGAAGTATCAATACCAAGGGAAACATCACGGAACTTTCACAAGGTGAATCGCAACATGTACAAGCACCTATATCGGTGAAAATTCAAGATTGATAGCATCTACTCAAGGGGAAACATCACGGAAGTATCACCAAGTGAATCGCAACATGTACAAGCACCTACATCAGTGAATATTCAAGATTTGAAGCATCTACTCAAGGGGAAACATCACGGAAGTATCACCAAGTGGATCGCAATATGTACAAGCACCTACCTCAATGAAAATTCAAGATTGGTAGCATCCACTCAAGGGGAAACATCACGGAAGTATCACCAAGTGAATCGCAACATGTACAAGCACCTACATCAGTGAAAATTCAAGATTGGTAGCATCTACTCAAGGGGAAACATCACGGAAGTATCACCAAGTGAATCACAACATGTACAAGCACCCAAATCAGTGAAAACTTTAAGTTTGAAGCATCTACTCAAGAGGAAACATCACGGAAGTATCACCAAGTGAATCGCAACATGTACAAGCACCAAAAATAGTGAAAATTCAAGATTGGTAGCATCTACTCAAGGGGAAACATCACGGAAGTATCACCAAGTGAATCGCAACATGTACAAGCACCAAAAACAGTGAAATCTCAAGATTGGTAGCATCTACTCAAGGGGAAACATCACGGAAGTATCACCAAGTGAATCGCAACATGTACAAGCACCAAAAACAGTGAAAACTCAAGATTGGTAGCATGTACTCAAGGGGAAACATCACGGAAGTATCACCAAGTGAATCGCAACATGTACACCCTCCTGGATCGACAAAAATCGCAGTTTTGACAAGAAGGAGGAGGATGGAGAAAGGGGAGAGAAAGAAAGAAAAGAAAAGGAAGAAGAAGAAGAAGAAGAAGAAGAAGAAGAAGAAGAAGAAAAAGACGGGGAAGAACAAGAGGGGAGAGAAGAAGGAGAAGAAGAATGAGAAGGAGAAAAGGAGGAAGAAGGAGAAGGCGGCCTCCCTCCTTTTCACTCACCTCTTGCTGGTATCTAGGCAGTGGAGCCCCAATGCTTGGTTCTAGCCTCCTGAGTGTGGCTTCCCCTTCCTCCCAAGTTCTCTCTTCCTTCCCTCACTCCTCTTTCTTATCTATGGCAGACTCCTAGCTCTAAGGTTGTGGAGTCCTCCCTCTAAGAGGGCTGAGGGAACCCCTGTCTCAGCCTCTCCTCCTACCTCACAGCCTGAGGGCTATGGCGGATCACCTCCCTTGCCTTCCTCTAGCCTCTAGATCTCCTCCCTTAGTCTCATCACCATAGCCAAGCTCCAGGCTAGCTCCGGCTCTCACCTCCTTGCTCTATCTCACTAGCATTCACTCACGGGCTCATTTTGGCAGCATGGGCTCCTCTCATGCTCAAATGAGAGTGGCGG